GTCACAAGGAAGAGATGAGCCAGTCAGGGTGCAGTATAGCACCAATGAAACACACAACTTTCCTCTAGTTCTTTAATGCTTCCTCCCCCCACTATCATGACCTCAATTCTACCTTCCAAATCCGACTAGACCAGAACACGTACACGGGTACAGATAAGAGCTCAAAACAGGGAATCCAGGACAGATAAATCCCTCATGGCCAACAATGAGAACAGAGATACCAGGAGGGAGAAGGGGGAGGGCGGGGAATGGAGGATTGATCACAAGGATCTACGTATAACCGCTCCCTGGGGGTCAGACAACATAAAAGTGGGTAAAGAGAGACATTGGCCAGTGTGAGACATGAAAAAATAATAACTTATAATTCATCAAGAGTTCATGAGAGAAGGAGGCAAAAGATGAGGAGCTGATATCAAGGGCTCAAGTAGAAAAAAAAACGCTTTGGAAATGATAATGGCAAATATGTACAAACGTGCTTGACACAGTAGATGAATGTATGGATTGTGATAAGAGCTGTAAAAGCCCCTGATAAAGGTACTTAGTTTAAAAAAAAAAGAAACAGGAAAAAAAACATTAAGCAAGCGATATTGACAGAAGCAGAAATAAAGTGTATTTAGGTAAATTTTGCTGGTGCTTTAAGACTTCTCCCTAGGATCTTGTTTTAGTTAAGCCCCCCTGTTAAGGGTAAAATAAACACACCTGCCCTGGGAAGAATGACTTACTGGTCTTCTCTGATGCGGAGTGAAATTGAAACAAGAACTGCCCTAAGGATAGTTACTGGCCGGCATTCCATTTTGATAATACACAGGTTGCAGGTTTGCCAGGGAGATTTTTGTGGATTAAAGGAGGGTGAGGGCTTCCTGGGAGTGAAGGAATTTTGTGATAGTTTTAACCTAATCTTAGGTCAACTAAAAAAATAGGGTGACCTGTGCTTGTCTACTTCAGTGGGTAGCAGCCCAATGTGTAACCTACTACACCACCAGAGCTGCTTGCCAAAGTGAAGTGCCCCAATTGTAGATAATCTTTTGGAGTACTCTTTAATTCCCTAGACCAAGGCTTCTGATTTCAAGAGTCAATCTAGTGTCCTCCAACAAGCCTTGCCTGAAAATAGTAGGAGGCAGTGTGGAACACTGGGAAAGAGTGCTTGGTAAACACTAAGGAGATCTGAGTTTAAGTCTAGACTTTGTCACTAAACCACAAGTCATCTCACATACCTTCACCAACACCACCCCTGGGCCATCTTTAGGGTTTAGTCTCTAAGCCGCTTTACAGCAATGTGTTCCTGTACACCAGGATCTTAGCCCAAGGCATAATGGTTAATTCTTCTGACTGTGATTAAAATTTACTGCCACTTAGTACCATCAAGTCAATTCCAATTTATAAAGACCCTAAAGGACAGTGTCAAACTGCTCCTGCAGGTTTCCAACATTATACATCTTTACAGGAGTGGGTAGTCATCTTATTACCATGGAACTACTGTTCTTGCAGTAAGCGACCCAACATATAGCCCATTATACTCTGTGCTTAGCTGTCCAGATTACTACCTACATTACTGAACCAGGTTTCCAAGGAGTAGAACCAGAGAAATGAATTTTTTACAAACCTCACATCTTCTGAATGTACAAGTGTGGCTTGGGACTGCTGCTTTTTCATTTTAAGTCTTTTTGAACTACTTTGGAGCCCTGGTGGCATAGTGGGCTGCTAACCGCAAGGCCAGCAGTTCAAAACCACCAGCTTCTCCAAGGGAGAAAGATGGGATTTTCGACTCCTGTGAAGTTACAGTCTCGGAAACTCAGAGACAGTTCTGCCCTGTTCGACAGGGTCGTTATGAGTCGGCATCGACTTCCTGGCAGTGAGTTTTTCCTTTTTTTTCTTGTGGGGGGTAAGTTTTGGATGCTACTTTATTTTTTAAATCCTGTGTCTTTGTTTTGAAAAAGAAGAAAAACAGTCAAAAGGAAATCTGATGGAAAAATCACTAGAATGAGTTGGGAGGATTTGGGTTCATATCTAAACCATTGTCTGCTAGCTGGATCACTTTTTTTTTCTATTCATTTTATTAGGGGCTCATACAACTCTTATCACAATCCTTACATACATCAATTGTGTAAAGCGCATTTGTACATTCATTGCCCTCATCATTCTCAAAACATTTCCTCTCCACTTAAGCCCCCGGCATTAGGTCCTCATTTTTCCCCTCCCACCCCGATCCCCCCTCCCTCATGAGCCCTTGATAATTTATAAATTATTATTTTGTCATATCTTGCCTTATCCGATGTCTCCCTTCACCCACTTTTCTGTTGTCTGTCCCCCAGGGAGGAGGTCACGTATAGTTCCTTGTAATGGTTCCCTTTCCAACCCACTCTCCCTCTACCCTCCCAGTATCGCCACTCACACCACTGGTCCTGTAGGGCTCATCCGCCCTGGATTTCCTGTATTTCCAGTTCCTATCTGTACCAGTGTACATCCTCTGGTCTAGCCAGACTTGCAAGGTAGAATTCGTGTGATGATAGTGGGGGCAGGGAGGAAACATTTAGGAACTAGAGGAAAGTTGTATGTTTCATCGTTGCTACATCGCACCCTGACTGGCTCATCTCCTCCCCGAGACCCCTCTGCAAGGGGATCTCCAGTGGCCTACTAATGGGCTTTGGATCTCCACTCCGCACTCCCCCCATCATTCACTATGGTAAGATGATGTTCTGATGATGCCTTATACCTGATCCCTTCGACACCTCGTGGTTGCATAGGCTGGTGTGCTTCTTCCATGTGGGCTTTGTTGCTTCTGAGCTAGATGGCCGCTTGATTACCTTCAAGCCTTTAAGACCCCAGACGCTATACTTTTTGATAGCCGGGCACCATCTAGCTGAATCACTCTTGATGATTCATTTAGCCTTTCTGTAAAGTGGAATCAGTGCATTTGAATTATGGTGCTGGTAAATATTGAAAAGCACAAGACAGAACGCTCCTTAGAAGCAAAGATGGCGAGATTTTGTCTCATATACTTTGGACATGTTATCAGAAGAAAAAAGGGTATCATGCTTGGTTGAAGAGCAGCAAAATAGAGGAAGACCCTCAATAACATGGATTGACACAGTGAATGCAACAATGGGTTCAAACATAAGAATTGTGAGGATGGCACAGGACTGGGCAGTGTTTCGTTCTGCTGTCCAGAGTCATTATGTAGGGACTGACTTTTGATGGCAACTAACAACAACAAAGTGGGGAGGAACAACTGCTGCCACTTAAAGATCCCAGTGATAACTAAATTGCTTTAAGCATACTTCATTTAATTCTCTCTGCACTACTGAAAGGTAGGCACATATTACTGTCTTTTCTGGATGAACACAAGACAAATTTAGCTTGTTTTAATAGCTACAGTTTTAATATATATTAGGAAAATCCACATAATTAACACATCAGATCCATGATTTCATGGATATCACTAGTTAGGAAGAAATTAAAGTAGATAACAATTCCAGACAAAAGATCTCAGAAGAAAAAAACCCCAGCAAACATCAAAGGAGACAATTTGGAAGTATCCATTAAAAAACAAAATATAAAACTTCTACAACTCTGCAATTGTGCTCATAGCATCAACCCTAGATAAATTGTCACACTTTACCACATCTAGAAAGATACTCCAGGTAACATAATAGCAAAAACTAAAAGCACTGTTAATGTTCATCACAAAAGAAATGGGCTAGTGAAATGTGGTTCAGTCATACAAGCAATTACAAAGAAGGAAGAAGTTCATTTATATGTAACAAGCATAGCTCTCAAAAACATTAAGTCAAAAAAGTGATTTGCACAACAATTCCATCTATCATTTCGTCAAGCACATACACGTTTTCAATAAATTCGCATATGTACAGGCAGACCTCAGAGATATTACAGACTCAGTTCCAAAACACTGCAGTAGAGTGAATACCACAATAAAATGAGTCTTATGACTTAGTTTCCCCGTGCATATAAAAGTCCATTACATGTACAATTATGAAAAAGTTTGAAATAATAAGAGAATTCCAAGATGTGACAGATAGATGGAGCGAGCAATGCTATTGGAAAAATGGTGCCAGTACAGTTGCTTGATGCAGGGTTGCCACAAACCTTCAATTTGTAAAAAACAAACAAAAAACGCAATATCTACAAAAGCACAATAAAACAAGGTATGCCTATATGTAAACATTAAAACAAAGCCTAGACGGATGTATAACAATAATAATGAAGCATGAAGAGGGGGAAGGGATTAGGAGTGGCTTTCAAATCTAATTTCTTAAAAGGAGAATAGAATCAAACATGAATATTAAATTAAAAGTGTTCATGCATTAGAATTAAAATTTATTTAACCCCCCCTTTTTTTAAATCGTTTTATTAGGGGCTCATACAACTCTTATCACAATCCGTACATACATCAATTGTGTAAAGCACATTTGTACATTCATTGCCCTCATCATTCTCAAAACATTTGCTCTCCACTTGATTTAACTTTTAAAGCATACAAATATAGATGAGAATAAGTCAAAGTCTGACAGTGTATGCAAAATGACTAAAGGCTCACTAATCCTCACAAGATTAGTTCTCAAAAGGAACCTTACTTAGCATGTTACAATGGGATATGGCACAGCTTCTCTCCCCGCTACTTCCTCACAACCCATACTAGGGCTAAGATATTCAATTACCATACATGGCTAAAGATATGGGCCTCTTTAGGTCCTTCACTTACCAGGGAAATCCCATTAATTATGGGGCTTCCCCCAGCAACCAGGTCATTCCCAAACTCCCAGATTTGGAAGCTCCTCCCATCTCTAACAGCCTAGATCAGAAGCCCTGAGGGTTCAGGGACGAAAAGGTTTGTTTCTGAGGAGTCAGCACCTAATGGGCTCCAGGAAGGGATAAGGCTTCCAGGAATTGATATACATCATTAAACCCTAGGAGGTAGGTAATATTGTTAGACTTATCTGACAAACGACAAACAAAAATCAAATGACTTTTTCAGTTAAACCAGTCAATGATTTAAAAATGATCTGTCCTATGCTCTACTCATCAAATCTACTGCCACTGAGTCTATTCAAACTCATAGAGTACCTATAGGACAACACTGAACTGCTCCTTAAGGTTTCTGAGATGTAGATCGTTGTGGGAGTAGCCAGCCTCATCTTCCTCCTGAGGAGCGGCTGGTGGGTTGGTTTGCAGCCACTGGGTTGTTCAGACCACTGGGCTCTCTGCTCAGCACCAAGTGCCTGATAAAATTTCACCAATATGTCAGGGTCCTACTCAAATGTGAGCTTCTCTAGGAAGCTTGAAGGTAATCTTCCTCTTCTGAAACAGAGTACCCTTGCCTATGACACTCATTCATTCATAAGCCTGTATCATCTCCTAACTAGAAAGGTAGAGACTGCATCTGGTTCAGCTCTATATCACTAAAAGACAGCTTGACAAATCTGGGTGTTCCACATAGGTATGACAAATAAGCAAATGAATATATGAATGAATGAGGGCAGTTTTGGGTGACTGCTTAAGAATCTAGTGAGGTTCTGTGTAACTGCATAGTCTGAGGTACTGTCATCCTAAATGCTTAGAAGCAAATTCAGCATAGGCTTCTTATAAAACAGGTCTCCAATATATTTTATTATTTTTCAAACACACACACATACAATGGGCAAAGGGACCATGATTATTATGGTTGATAGGGGCGGGGGATGAGAAGCAAGGTACAGACAAATGGTCAGCACCCCCTTTCCTATATAGCTCAGGAACTCTGAGCTAACTCAGGCCTAACATCACCTCTGTTCTCCCTCTTCATGCTTGATATAGCCTAAAATTCCCATGACTATGCCAAACAGGGCTGGGAGGTAGGGGAAGGCAGGAAACCAGAGAGACAGAAATTGGGAGAGGTGCAGCTGAGGGATCCACACAGAGCAAGAGAGCAGACTATTGCTCATTGGGATTGGGGTTGGCATCCGGGTACTTGGTGAGGTCGAAGGTCAGGACTTTGCTGATCACACAGTCCCCTTGCTGCAGGAGAAAGGAGAAAAAGAAAAAAAGAAAAGGAGAGAATTAAGAGGGGTCTAGCACTTTAGGATTTGGGACTTCAAACCCACTCCACTGCATGCATGCCCAAAGCCCAGTAAATGAGTCTTCCTGGATTAGAGAGGATGTGCTTGGTCCTATATGCCTTCTTTGCCTGCCTACCTTCACACTCACCTTTTCTCTCCTGTCTGGATGCCTGTCCTATCTACCCTTTCCACATGTGACAGCCCTACCCAGGTGGGCTAGCTAAGCCTCCCGGGCTGAGTTCCAACAAGCCCAGATGCTCCCCACTTCCCTTACCCCTCCACTTTAGTCTTCCTTTCCTGCCTTGGGGAGTCAGCTGGGAGTGGGACTGGCTCCTAAGCTAAGCCTACTTTACATACCTCGGGATAGACTCCAATGAGGCTCTCAGCCTTGGTGTAGAACTCCTCCTTGAGAGAGATGACAATGGCTTGGAAGTTGCAAGTCGACTGTTCCTTTATATAATTTGCTACCTGTGGGAGAGGCCACCAAGTAATTAGCAGGGAAGCCCTAACCTTCCCCAGTCTTCCAGTGAAAACCAGTAGGCAGAAGAGGTAGGGTAAAGGTTGCAAGGCAGGTAAAGAGAGGTTGAGACAAGGTCACAATATGGATGACCCTGGGCCTACCATCCCAGGCACAGAGGGCAAACAGCAAAAGTGATTAGGGTACACTCAGGAGTTTGCTTCTTGAAACCCAGCCCCAACCTAGAGGCCTCCCTCCTTGGCTCCCACTTTTCTTACACCTACCTTGCCAATGTTGGTGTTATCCAGGGCAGCATCGATTTCATCCAGTACGAAGAAGGGAGCTGGTTTGTAGCTGGGAGGGAACCAGTAAGTGAGCGGACACGGAATCCATGGCAAAGAGGGGTGGAACAGCCCCATGTCTCATGAATAAGGCCAGCGTCCCCCCTCTACTTCTTTAAAGACTAAAAAACGCAAGTTCCAATGTTGCCCAAGTCCCTAAAGGCCAATGAATCAACTGAGCCCTCCTCTAAACCCAGCTCTGTGCTCAAGGATCCTGTAGAAGAACTGGAAGACATGGTCCCCTCAGGGAGCTTCTAGGCAGGTTAGGGGATAGAAACTCTCCTAGAATGACCAAGCTGTTTAGATAATCAGGTAGTCTTTCCCACTCCCCCACGCTGTCATATTTCCCTGTCTTGATGTCTACTGGTTCTTGCTGGCCAATTTCTATCTACCTTTATATTTCTTGCTCTTGAAAGCATTTCTTGACCCATACACATCCTACCCCACACTGGATTGTCTCTCTGCTATACATCCACAGCACCATTCCTCACTTTAATAATAATAACAATAATAATAATTAGCACATTATTATACACCGTTCTAATGCCGAGACCCTTTGATACAGTTCCTCATGTTGTAGTGAACCCCCCCAACCATAAAATTATTTTCGTTGCTACTTCATAACTGTAATTTTGCTACTATTATGAATCGAGCGACGCCTGTGAAAGGATCGGTCGACCCCCAAAAGGGTCGTGACCCACAGGTTGAGAACCGCTGCACTAGACAGTGAGCTTCTCTAAGACAGAGGCCATGCCCAACTCCACAAAATGACTGGAGCACAGCAGCCCTCAAGAAATTTTTGCTGCTTGAGAATTACACTCTTTTAAGAACCATATACATGGAATCAAATTGACAACAGCAACTCTAAATATTATAAAGGAACCTTAGGGGGCAGTGAGTTTTTGTTACTGTAGAAAGTACAACTCAGAAGAGGAGGGCAAGAATGATTGCACAGCTCAAAGAATGTAATCACGTTACTGAATTGTACATGTAGAAATGATTGAATGGGTCTGGCATTTGAACTCAGTCCTGTGGCTCCAACTCCAGCCATGTGCTGAACAGGTCGATAAGTTGGTCAGTAACACTGCTTGGAATAACTAACCATCCGAGACCAACAGGGTAGCATTTGTCTGGGGATAAAGTTCAGAAGGCAGGAAGGGTTATGAAAGAAAGGAATGAAAACAGGGTAAGTGGAATCAGTGATGTTACAGTGTAGGGATTGGAATCAATGACATAAAATAGGATCTATATGAATTGTTTAATGGAAAACTGATTTGCCAATAAACCTTCAGCCAATTCACAGTTAAAAAAAACAAATGGTTGAATGGGTACATGCTATGCTGTGTATATTCTCAACAACAAAATTTAAATGTTTTAAGTAACACACTGTAGGAAAAACAGAAAAGTATTTCCTGAATGATGATGCATAATCAAGCACTAAATTGTATGAGTCAGTCTTGAGTACTATGGGCATTCAGGAGGTAGCCAGGGTGTGCCACAACAATCAAAGAGGGCTTCCTGAAGAGGGGAGGAGGAGGATAAGGAGAGAAGGGTTAGAAAGCGACAGTCCTCAGGACCAATAATGAAAGCAGTGATACCAGGAGGGTAGGGGGAATATGGGGGGAGAAAGGGGAAACCAATCACAATGATCAACATATTCACCACCACCCCGCAGGGGAATGAATCACAGAAAAGTGGGTGAAGGGAGACAGCGGACGATGTCAGATACATCGTAAGATACATTTATAATTTATCAAGGGTTCATAAGGGAGGGAGAAAAAAACTGATACCAAGGGCTCAAGTAGAAAGAAAATGTTTTGAAAATGATGATGGCCATATACGTACAAAGGTACTTCACACAATGGATGGATGTATGGATAGTGATAAGAGCTGTAAGAGCCCCCAATAACATTGTTTTTAAAAGAGAGAGAGAAGATGGAATAGGAACAAGAAACATAGGAAGGAAATGTGATAGGTGGTATTATGCTTAAGGAATTATAATAAATTAAACAAAAATAAACTAAAGGTGGTCTCATACTGCATCCTTCTTCCGTAAGACCAAAGGTGCCATGTATTGGTGGGTGAGTAGAGGAAGAAAACTAGACTTGACGCTAAATCCTGGAGCTTCTATTTATTGGCCTATGTGAACTGGAGTAAGTCACTTATACATTCTAGGCCAGCAGTTCTCAACCTGTGGGTCGCGACCCCTTTGGAGCCCCAATTCATAACAGTAGCAAAATTACAGTTATGAAGTAGCACTGACCATAATTTTATGGTTGGGGGGGTCACCACAACATGAGGACCTGTATTAAAGGGTCACGACATTAGGAAGGTTGAGAACCACTGCTCGAGACCTTTGTTTGTCCACCTAGAAAGCATAGTAAATTCCTGTTTCATAAGGTTATTAACTGATCACTAGGAAAATGTGATCATTTTCTAGTGATTTTCACTAGGAAAATCACTAATAAAACTCAAGTAAATGTCAAAAAAAGTGATAGTCAAGTTAGATTTGCATGGAAAGGCCTTATTAGGTAGCACCCATGTGAGTGAGCAAAAAACCTGGAGGCTGAAGATATGCAGGATCTAGTAAGGATAAGCTGCATGGGAGAGACAAGTCTGGGAAAACCAAACTGAGATACACTGATTCTACTAGAACATTTTCACCTCCAAAGACCTCTCCCTATCATTGTGCTCCTGAACTGTGGTGGTCTTAGTTCAGTCTCTATGCCAACTGCTCTGTGGAACAGCCTCACCTGTGGATGGCAAACAGCAGAGCCAGAGCTGCTACTGTTTTCTCTCCCCCTGACAAGTTGTCCATAGGTCGGAAGCGTTTGCCAGGAGCTACGCAGTTATAGTTGATGCCATCCAAGTAGGGTTCCTCAGGGTTCTCAGGGCCCAGGAATGCCTAAGAGGAAGGCAGATGGCTCAGGATCTGGATCTAGGTCTGGACAGGAATGGGAATAGGAAGTACAGAGGAAAGGACCGATAGTAGGAATTGATTAAAGGGTTCCAACCTACCTGGGCACTGCTGTTGCGGGACAGTGCCTTATAAATCTCATCGATGTTGGTCGCCACAGATTCAAAACAAGCATTGAAACGGTCAAAGCGTTCCTTCTTGATTTGTTCAAATGCCTGCTTGGCCTTCTTGGCTCGCTTTCGGGCTGCCTCAAACTCTGCCACATGTAAAAGACAGGAGATGCCTTCAGTGCCCTGGATCTGACAGGGCTGGGGAACAGCTGGGCAATTATCAGTGACAATTTACAGACTAGGTGCTTTTCACCGAGACAGAAATGCCTCCAGACTTTGCAACCAGTGGGACGGGACCCCATAGAGCAGTGGTTCTCCACCTTCGTAATGCCGCGACCCTTTCATACAGGTCCTCATGTGGTGGGGACCCCCAACCATAACATTATTTTCCTTGCTACTTCATCACCGTCATTTTGCTACTGTTATGACTCGGGTGACCCCTGTGAAAGGGTCATTTGACCCCCCAAATGGGCCGCGACCCACAGGTTGAGAACCACCTCACTAGAGGAAGAAACCTGCTTAAAGCAACAAAAACATGGGTTCCTCTCTGGACTCTACCAACAACCAGCTGTGCCACCTTGGATAAACTTCATTTTTCCTCTTTGAACTTTGTAAAATAGGTGTGATGGCCCTACTGTTCAAAGCTCTTTAAAGTTTTTATAAAGAAAGCATATAAAAATAGCAGTTGCTGTAATATACAAGGGGGCTTCAAGAGTTCATGGAAAAATGACATAAAAATAATGGAATTTTTCTATGAACTTTAAAAAACCATATAGATACCTTTTAGGAGAGACTCTTGCCTTCATTTCAGGGCCCAAAGGGAGAATCTTACCATCCGAGGTCTCCTGGAACTTGTCTCGGACACTTTCCAGCTTTTCCATGGCCTTCATGTTGGGGGCAGCAATACGCTGGAGCACGCTCTGCTGCTCATTTAGCTTCTGCTGCAGTGTGTTCATCTCCTGCTTGATCTCTTCCTCAGCCTGGGCATCCTATAAGGCCCAGTCCCAGCAGAATCAAGAAGGGTCTGATTTGGCCCTGAATACATGCTCCCATGCAGAAAGTAGTTTCTTCCTTTCCAGTTCAGCTCCTCCCCCACCCACCAGGCCCTGCGTACAGGAACCATTTCCAATATCCCTGGAAATTACATGCTAGTGGTGCCCTTGCTCTAAGCCCTGCCAACATGTCTCTCGGGAGGTGGTGCCCCTTTCTGGCTAGTGGTCCAACCCATGAGCCAACACCACCCCAAGGTGTGACCTAGAAGCCCCCACACAAGCTGCTCTTCACTCCACTTAAGCATTACACTGGCAAAGACAACTTACGTTTTTAGTTCAGAACACTACAGATGAAAAAATTTTTCTTGAGTTTGGCTTGAGACCTATGAATACTTTATATGCATGTCTGACTCTGTGCCTTCTGTTATAAATAAATATTTATTGCATGCCTACTAAGAGCTAATCACTGGGGCTCCTCATATGTTATGAGAGCTCGCGAATCTAGCAGAGGAATGTTTATAAAGAGTCAGAATTAACGCTAACATTTTAAAAAGCAGAAACAGTTGGGTCAGCACACAAGAAAGATACTGAACTAGACTCTGGTGCCACAGACAGCTTCCAGAAACATGTCTGTGCTAAAGCCCACAGGAGAGAAGAAACCGGGTTCTGGGCAGAAGGAAATATTGCAGTCAAAGATTAGAGGGTTTTGTTTGAATCAAGGAATTTAGTGGGAAGAACTGGAGGAAATCATGCTAAGCGAAGCAAGCCAAGCACAAAAGGGCAAGTACAACATGAGTCCGCTGAGGTAAGCTTTAAAAAGAAATACAAAAGGGGCATAAGGAAAAAACTACTATATACAAACATCCCTGGGGTGAGGTCCAGGTAATATGGCAGGAGCCAGACCAAATCCAGGGATACATATGGTATCAACTAAAAAGAGGGGGTGGGGGGAAAAGATAAAAAAATAACAAAGAAATGGGTAGCGGGGGAACAGGACACGAACCTACACAAGGGGAGGGTATTGTTTATATCTCCACAGGGAAAGAGGGACCAGACTTTAACCCGGTGTTCCACGATGTGAATGCAACATGCCGGCATGGAGTAGGGAACCAATGGAGAGGTCTGAGGGGCCGGCCCCAATCCCAAGTACGTGGACACCTGTCCCTCCCCACAGAAGACTTTATTTCAGTGGACAGCACTGAAGCTGCAGCTCCGGGAGAGGGACATATCTGATCAGAGCACACGAGCAAATGAAGGGGGAGGAAGAGAGAATGGAGCACATCCTGGCCCACCAAGCCTTAATGACGAGATTCCCGCTCAGAGCAGCCAATCCACAGAGAAGACCATGTGGCTGGCCCCACTATGAGATGGGACATCCCTCACTGACGGGACATCCCTCACTGACCCATAGCCCTACAGGGGACAACATTGGAAATACAGTGTAGGAATTGCACCCGATCTGATCCCACCACACCGAGGCAAAACACTTAACGGGGGTGGAACAGAACAGCAAGGGGAACAGAGCAACAAAGTCCCCAGGGAATACCAAAAATAGACCTTGGGACCAGGGCTTGGCACCCCATCAGACTCAACCAGAAAACACTCCTAAAGGTCAACAAACAGTCCTTGAACTAACTACAAGCTTTTCTTTCTTGCTGCGTTTTGTTTTGTTTGTCGTCATTGGCTTGTTGTTGTTTTGTTTTCTTTTGTTGCTTAGTTTTGCACTGTCTTGTTTTTGTGCATGTCATTATCTCCGCAGGTCTGTCTAAATAAGATAGGCTGGATGAACAATCTGGAGGAGAAAGCAACGGACCGACAGTTCCTGGGGGGCATGGAAAGGGAGTGATGGAAGGAAGTGGTGTTAACAAACCCAGGGACAAGGGAACAAGTGACCCAAATCAGTGGCAAGGAGGATGTAGACCTGGTAGGGCATGACCCAAGGGTAATGTAACCAAGAGGAATTACTGAAACACAAATGAAGGCTGAATATGATAGTGGGACAAGAGGAAAGTAAAAGGAAATAGAGGAAAGAACTAGGAGGCAAAGGGCATATATAGAGGTCTAAATAAAGGCATGTACATATGTAAACATATTTATATATGAGGATGTGGAAATAGATCTATGTGTACATATGTATAGGTTTAGTATTAAGGTAGCAGATGGACACTGGGCCTCCACTCAAGTACTCCCTCAATGCAAGAATACTTTGTTCTATTAAACTGGCATTTCATGATGTTCACCTTGCCGACACAACCGCTGAAGACAAGAAGGTGTATAAGCAAATGTGGTGAAGAAAGCTGATGGTGCTTGGCTATCAAAAGATATAGTGTCTGGGGTCTTAAAGGCTTGAAGGTAAACAAGCGGCCATCTAGCTCAGAAGCAACAAAGCCCACATGGAAGAAGCACACCAGCCTGTGTGATCATGAGGTGCCGAAGGGATCAGTTATCAGGCATCAAAGAACAAAAAATTATATCATTGTGTGCTCACCTTCCTGATACAATCACTGAAGACAAATGGGTGCATAAGCAAATGTGGTGAAGAAAGCTGATGGTGCTCAGCTACCAAAAGATATAGTGTCTGGGGTCTGAAAGGCTTGAAGGTAAACAAGCGGCCATCTAGCTGAGAAGCAACAAAGCCCACATGGAAGAAGCACATCAGCCCATGCGATCACGGAGGTGTCGAAGGGATCAGATATCAGGCATCATCAGAACATAATATCATATCATTGGGAATGAGGGGGAGTGTGGAGTGGAGGTCCAAAGCCCATCTGTAGGCACCTAGACATCCCCTTACAGAAGGGTCATGGGAAGGAGATTAGCTAGTCAGGGTGCAGTATAGTACCAATGAAACATACAACTTTCCTCTAGTTCTTTAATGCTTCCTCCCCCGCCCTATCATAATCCCAATTGTACGTTCCAAATGTGGCTAGACCAGAGAATGTACACTGGTAGAGATCAGAGCTGGAAACACAGGGAATCCAGGAAAGATAAACCCCTCAGGACCAATAATGAGAGTAGAGATACCAGGAAGGGAAGGGGAAGGTGGGGGATAAAGGGGGAACCGATCACAATGATCTACATATAACCCCCTCCCTGGGGGTTGGACAACAGAAAAAAGTGGGTGAAGGGAGAAATCGGTCAGTGTAAGACATGAAAAAATAATAATTTACAAATTATCAATGGTTCATGAGAGAGGGTGGGGAGGGAGGGGAAAAATGAGGAGCTGATACCAAGGGCTCAAGTAGAAAGAAAATGTTTTAAGAATGGTTAATTCCAACAAATGTATAAATGTGCTTGACACAATGGATGGATGGATGGATGGATTGTGATAAGAGTTGTATGAGCCCCCAACAAAATAAGTTTTTTTTTGTTTTTTTTGTTTTTTGTTTCCAACAAAATAAGTTTTAAAAAATTCATGAAAAGCTAATAACGAACTTTATAAAAGATGGATTAGGCTAACAACACACACATACATAGTGAACATTGTTTTTGGTTTTTCTAACTTTCTATTTTGTCAATTTTCAAAAATATACAAAGTACATAGAATAATAAAATGAGCTCCCCATGTGCCCATTCATATCCCCAAACCCATTGCTGTTGAGTTGATTCCAATTCATAGTAACCCTATAGGATAGAGTAGAACTACCCCATGGGGCTTCCAAAGGCAAACTACTACATCTTTCTCCCACATAGTGGATGCTAAGTTCAAACCGTTGACCTCTAAGTAAACAGCCAAGTACTTACTTACCCACTGCACTATCAGGGCTACTATGTACCCATTAATCAGCTTCAATTACTGGCTAATACAAAGCCATCTAAACTTTCCAACTCCCCCCCACACACTGAATTACACTTAAAGCAAATCTCAGAGGTTAGCACTTCACTTGTAAATATGTCCTATTTCTTTCTAAAAGAGCTTTTCACAGCCTCCGCATCATTAGTCAACACTGTTCATAGTTACTGTGCTAGATGGTCTGTTGCTGTAGGGCACTGTCCTGTATACTGCAGAACATTTAGCAACATCCATGGTCTCTGTCCAGTAGGTGCCACTATTAAAACCCACCCCAATAGTGACAACCAAAATGGTCTCCCAAAAAACCCTACCAAACTCACTGCAATTGAGTGGATTCCAACTCATAGTGGCCTTATAGAAAAGGGTAGAACTGCCCTGGTGGGTTCCCGAGACTGTAACTTATTGTATTGGTTTTGAACTACTAACCTAAGGCCACTAGGGCTCCATAAGAAATCTGCCCTTTCATGCTGAGAATCAAAGGACCAAACCAAAAAACTCACTATCAACAAGCTGATTCAAACTCATAGTGACGTCAAAGGACAGAGTAGAACTGCCCCTTTGGGTTTCTTATACTTGAAATCGGGGATGAGGCATCTTTGTTTTTCTGCCAAGGGCCACTTGGGTATTTACAACATCATTTGCAGGCCACACAAAATTATCAACTTAATATTTAGCCTGCTATATATGGTCAAGCATTTAATTAACTTACCTCTAACATGACTATCTGGAACTGCTTCTCTTTGGTGAAGCGTATGATGTTAGATTGTATTCATAATTTCGAGGGCCTTATATACCTCGCAGGCCTGACATTCCCCACCTCTGCTTCAAATCTTTATTTTACTCCCACGGAGCCACTGGTGGATTTTAACGCTCACCCTGTAGTTAGCCACTCATTGCATAGTGCACTATACAATCAGAGCTTCCAACAGTTCCTTCGTATCAAAATATATGTGGCCAGTGTTCAAACTGTCCTGGTTGCTTTAGAAAAAATTTCTTAAGTTTTTTAGTATCAGGATCCATTAAAGTACCTACATTGAAACTAAGTTTTACTTAGTTTATAGGTTCCACCTCTTTTTTATTTCTTAATAATGGATTCAAATGAGGCCTACACATTACAATTAGCTAATTTGTCTCTCAGTTTACAACGTGTGTCCCAGAAGAGAGGATATCACCCCCTGTGGGGTACTGGAACAATCCAAAAATAAAACAAAACTCACTGCCATTGAGTTGATCTATAGTGACCCTATAGGGCAAAGCAGAACTGCTCCTGGGAATTACTGAGACTCTTAACTCTTTATGGGAGATGCCTCATTTTACTCCCATGGAGCAGGTGGTGGTTTTGAGCTGCTGACCATGTAGTTAGCAACCAATGCATAACACACTACACTGCCAGGGCTCCTCTGGAACAATGAGGGTGGTGGTGTTGGTGGTGGTGACGGCTCCTCTGGAACTATGGGGTGGTGGGGGTGGTGTGTGCACACATGCATACAAACCCATATCCTGAATTATGGATTACAGTATTAAAGTTTTTAATTACCAAGAGATGCTGAGTAATTTTTTTTCTGAAAAGGTGGTGGTAGGTCAAATATATTTGGGAGCCTATGGCCTGAAACAATCCCCCCTTCTTATCTTTTTTCCTGCCCATTTATTTGTAAAAGAAATCAGGTATAAAAATAAATAAATAAAAATTTAAATGAAAAAAAAAACAGGTATTTTGTTCTTTAGTTTCCCACAGTTGAATTTGACTAACAGTATCCCTGTGTCTTTATTTAACAAACTCTTCTGGCACAAGTGTTTCTCATAACTAGTGGATCTAGACCAAGGGTTGGCAAACTGCAGCTCACAAGCCATTTTTAGCTCTGTTGATATGTACATGTGTCTCTAAAGTTCATGTATAAAATTTTGAAAGAACATTATTCAGGCAATGGTGATTTCATTTGTTTGTAAAAAATATATTGATGACTCTTGGGTAACTTTTAAATTGTTGTAAGGGACAGAATTGGCTCTTCCATCTCAAAAGTTTGTCAACCCCTGATCTACATACTTGATCACATTCATGTTTGAATTTTTGTCAAGAATATTCTATAAGTACCATTGAACATTGAATGATTTTACCATTGCCAAGAGAGACAACTGTTCATCATTTGTCCAGGGATGTGATGCAAAAGGAAAGTCACAAGCACAGAGCACCACCTATGACACATTCTTGGAAAAAATAATGAACCTAAATCCAATAAAACACTAAACAATTTACAGAAAATACAGGGGATCCAAGAACATGTTAAAAACCAGAGATGTGATCAGAAAACTGTACAGATCACATGTCAGAATTTCTTAAATAAATGAAAAGAAAAAATAAAGAGGGTGAGGGGCATGTCACAGACCAGTAGAGATATATCAACCCATTGTAACACATGAGCCTAAATTGACTCCCGATTTAAACATAGAAAGCCTTTAAGTATTTATAGGACTCTCATGGAAACCTAAGCATTTGCTGATTATAGGACATTATGGAGGTTTATTACAAGATGTGATATTGTGGTAGTGCTGTTTTGTTTTCAAGTCCTTATAATCTAGCTCATAGGCACCCAAACTCATTTGGCCCTCTTTTCAGGAAAAAAACCACCACCAAAAAAATTCAGTACCTACCCCCTGTCAATGAAAAAACGTCTGTGCTATAGCCCATAGTCCAAGATAAACTGTAGGTGTTTGCTGTTGCAGACCCCCCACACACACCAGATAGGTAGTAGTACCATCCACTTTGGGAAACACTGTTCTAGATGCTGAGGTAATTATAAATAATATCTGGAGTTACTCTAAAAGGGTCCACTGGGGATAAAACGAGTCTTAAGAACCAAAATTCACCATCTGCAGCTAATTATTAAATTTAAGTGATGGGTAGCTGGGGTTGGGTTCATATCATTCTCTCTACCATTTGAAGCTTCCATAATTCAAAAGTTTAAAAATATTACCTCCTCATGACTATAATGGTGAAGCATGAATTATAACGCGCTGGAGTTTAGAAAGCTTCTACAGTATAAAAGGAACCCTGGTGGCATCGTAGTTACGCATTGGGCTGTTAACCACAAGTTCAGCAGTTCAAAACCAACAGCAACTCCTCAGGAGGAAGACAGGCCTTTCCACTACAGTAAAGAGTTAGTCTTAGAAACTCACAGGAGCCGTTCTACCCTACTCTATTGGGTCACTATGAGTCGGCACCAACTCGATGGCAGTGAAGAGGTTTTTTCCTGCAGTATACCCCTACGTGAGGATGAAAGTGGCCCAAAACAAAGAACTGGTGGAAACAGAAAATAAAGCAGCTTTCAGTAGAGTGAAAGTCACCAAGACTTGACAAATAACTGAATTTGTGATGTGAGAGGAATTAAGGATGGTGGTCAGATTTCTGGTTCAAGCTTGAGGGTTGTACTGAGAGGCAGATTTGGGGAAGAAGATTAGGACTGGAAGTACCTATGGGACCGAGCATAACATAGATGGTAGTGCAAGCCAAGAGCTGAGAGAGATATCAGGATGAGAGAATTCCAAAAATGAAAGCGTTCCTAGGACAGAGCCCTGCGGAAAGTTTGAAGTCTATTTTTTCATTTTATAGACACGTGTTCTCTCTGTATGTGTGCATCCAGGCTGAGACAAGTACATACTTAGAGAGAGAAAAGGGACAGAGACACAAGCAAATTGTAGTGAAGGTGGAAGATGTGCTTTTGTCTTTGTGTATATAATGGAGAGCACCCTAGGTCACAAGTCAATCCTCCCTTACCAGCTCTCCCCATTTTACATTCTTGGTCTCTGTAGGGTCCAGAGGGGCTGACCCTCTCTAACTGTACAGCTTGGACCATGACTATCCAACCCCCACTCCTCTCACCTCCCCCAACTTCCCACCCCCATGACTGATCCTCACCTTCAGATCCTCACACAGATCACCATAGTCAATCTCGATGAGGGCCTCTCGTGCGTAGATACTGGAAGTTCTCTGGGAGCCACTCACTGAATCCTCCCCCTGGGAGCTACCCTGCAATGGTGAGAGGGAGATTCTAATGAAACAGACTGCCATGAGAGTGACCCTCTGTGGGAGGGAGCCTGAGATTTCCTTTGTAACCTTCTATGTCTCTGAGAAAGCACCTTGTAAGAAAGCAGTATGGCAAATGGAACAACAGCTTTGAAGATTCATCACTGGGTTCTGGCATTGACAGTATGATCGGGGAAGCCACACTCTCTGATCCCAAGTGTCTTTGCCTGTTTGACACGGTTATAGTTCAGATTAGACTAATTATGTCACGTGCTATTGTGATGTCTGGCACATTTCTGGTGTTTAAAATGTTTTATTGAATTGAAATGAAATGTTATTTGGGAGGAAGGGAAGGAGGAAGACCAGGGATACCAAGATATATGACCAGGTCTAAGATGGATATATATAATCCTCCCCTCAGTTAACATTCCCTGGGCCCTCACTACCAATCTTTACTTCCAATGGATTCAATGTCTCAGCTCCCCTATTAGTGTTCCTCTCTTTCAGAAAGCTAAGCTTTCTTTACTCTGCACTTCTGATGTCCCCTACCCCACCCTCTTCTGGCCAACTTCCCTCCCTGCAACTATTCTCTCTCTGGTCCCCAAAGCTTCCTGGCTTCCTTTGCTCTTACTCTTGGCTAATGTCTCTCAGTTCTCAATCTGACACCCACTACTATTATCTATCACCCAGTAGAGTTAGCATAGTTCAAGTCTCCACAATTAATGGATGACTTCATTGTCTGGCTTACATCCTTCACCACCTGCTGGCATACCCTACCCTCAAGTCAACTTCCCACTTTACACCAGACCTATTCCTTTTCATACCATCTGCCTCTACCACCTCACCTTCTTTGCCCTGCATCTCTCCTATATCCCTCACCATCTCCTGCCTATAACCATTCCATCACTTAACTGTCCCTCCAGGCCACTGTCATTTTTCCATCCCTGGTTAATATTTTTTTGCAGCCCACACCCACCATCAGCAATAACTCTTACCTCTTCCTGACTAATATCATCCATGGTCCCCTTAGACAGTGGCAACTTGATATCCTGCATCTTACAGGCCTGTAGCAGGTTGTGGCGGTCACTGCGCTTCTGTTCAAGCTTGGTCTCAATAGCTGTCACCTCCTTCTGTAAGTGAGTCATTTCCCTAAGAAGGTTCAGGGAGCTAAGTAAGACCCAAATCCGGCAAGTTGCCTGTTCTACTTACTTCCCATGCTCTGAATCTGAACTCACTCACTTGTTGGCTCCGCCCAGTTTCTTGCGAATCTCCTCCATCTCATGATTCTTGTCATTCACCTCTGATTTCTTGGCCAGGTGCTGGTTCTTCAGGTCTTGTAGCTGGGCCATAGTCTCATCTATGATCTTCATGTGTCTCTGCTCCTCCTGGTCCCAGCAAGGAAACAGAACAAGAGGTGAAACATTTCCCAATTTACCTTAGGATCTTCTCTCCTGCTACTACCCTTCATAACAAGCAGTTTGTTGGAGCCACTCTTCAATGAACTCTGCTTCCCAACTTCCCAATTACCATTCAAGATGCTTATCTTTTCCAAACTATTCGGTTGCCTCCCCAACACCCATTCCATTTATACAAAATACCTGCTATTCAAAGTATATAAAATATATAAAGCGCGTGCGGAGGGCAGGGGCAGGAATCACTCAAGATCCCACCAGTTAATGACCAATGGACATTTTAACATAGTTCTTCCCCATGTTATTTATAGACCATTTTACATAATTAAGACTAGATTGTAACAAAATCTATATTCTGACAATATTATTTTTGAACATATTTCCACATACTGCCTATCATGAGCCATATAACATTTATGTTCTTAAACAAGCACACATAAATAATACCGTATATTCTCTATGAGAACATGTTAGAACACACCAGCCTGTGATCCAAAGATGACAATAAGAAAATCCAAATATGATGAAGGGAAAAATATCAGAGTGAAAATTGTGATCACCCAATTAGCAGCAGGCTATGAAGGACAGTGGGAGCCCAAAATCTATCTGCAGACTAGCTAGTCAGATCAAGCCTCTGGCAGAGCCCCTCTAGCCACAGGCAAGGCAAGACTTTACTATTTGACTAAGATTATTGAACTGACCTTCCTCTTGACCCAACCTGAATCTGCTCTAAGCTCAAGTATTTCTCACTTGTTCCACAACAGAAATTTCTTATCTGACATTTTAAATATTGATGGTGGTCTTTTCTTATTCTTTATTTATATTTTTTATCTTTATATTTTTATTATTTTCTTCTTGCTGTTTTGTTTGTTGTTGTTTCTGTTGGGTTCCCCAGTTTGTGAAACACAGAAAGAGCAGATACATAAAAACAATAACTGATGCAATGGTTTATCAGGGATGTGGACACAGGGTGGGAAGTGGGGGGGGGGGTGAGGACTTAGGGAGCAAACAATAAATGCAAGAGGGGGGAGGGAGCAGTAGAACTGATTGTGATAATGTATATCAACTCATTTTAACAGTGATTTAACCATGGAAGTGTATGATATGTGAATACTATAGCAAGAAAACTACTTTTAAAAAAGCACCCAATTTTGACCAATAGTTACCATGGGTGAAGGAGAAAGAGTTGTTGCTTAGGGAACATTGAGTCAATGATGGTGGAATAATTTGTAGAAAGATATCAATAATGGTTGTACAACCCGAAGACTTGGCAGTGAATCATACATGTAGAGGTTGTGGAATTGGAGAATGTTTTACTGTGTATATTTTTGCCACAATTAGCAAGAAAAATAATTACATGAATAACAATGAGTACAAAGAACAAAATGTTCTAGAATTTAATGTATTGATAACTTTATAACTCTTCATGATATAATTAAATTATTGAATTGTATGACATGTGGATGAAGTAATAACGAAACTGTTTTAAAGAAAGATACAAACAAAACTAGGATTCCTTCGGCAAAGAAAGTAAGAGACTACAAGTGAGTGCTCAATGGGAGTGCCTTATAACATTCTGATTTTTCAAAGAAGACTTTTTGTTCTCATTTTAATCCTAAGAAGTCACATACATGGGATATATGTGCAAGTTACTCTAAAATGGTTCATCAAAAGTATTAACATACCTAGAGAATGAAAATGCAAATATGGCTAAATGATTATTGCTGAACCTTAATGATGGATATATATGGGAGTTCTTTGAAAAGTCAAACAAACATCTTATTCTGGATCATCTAGATTAGGGGTGTCATACTCAATTAAACGCGGGTCATTCAGTGCAACAGGCAAGATTCACGCGGGCCACATCACATTTACAAATTTTGTTAAATTTATATTTTGAAGTGAGGATTCAGGAATATGGATTGGATAATTAAAACACTATATAATTGCTTTTATTTAAACATTTATTCTATTTTGTATTTATGAAACTAAAATTATTCTTTTTTACCCGAAACTTGCCAGCTCTTTCCTCCTACGAGTTTTCACTTAGCACTTCTTATGTTGTGAATGGAAAATATAACAAAGTAACTAATAAAAAAACCCACAAAATGTTTGACAGCTGACAAACGTGATACACAATCGTAATGGTTCCCCTCTAAAAATGTTAACTAGTACTGCCACTAGGTATGATTCACAACACCACAACCCAGAGTGCTCTTTTTAACCTTTTAGCTATTGGGTTCTGTTTACATTACATGACACTGAGAGTGGCAGACATATCGCTTCCAAATGTCGCCAGAACTGAGTCAGCATTTATACATGCCCACAGGCCCCCAGGAAAGGCACTGGGCCACTTGTCTACTTGTCTTCAGTAGTTAAAGGGGTTAAGGAGGGAATGGTGTGTACGGTATTGCCTAGTTCACCCGTAATCACTGTTTTCTTTTTTTTTTCTTTCAAATTTGTCTTGTAGTTCTTCCTCACAGCTCCAACCAACAGCAGTTCTGCGAGTAAAGCAAACCGCATAGTTACTCTGTGAGGCGTTTCCAACGATTTGGGTCTACAGACAAGGCCTCATTGGGATAGACCCCAACAGCACTGTTTTCTTTCTTT